CCCTAGCTGTTGTCCAGTGCGGGTTTTATTCTGCACAGTGTTTTCCATGTATTCCAATGGCCCTGGTTCACACCAGTGCAGTCAGTTTCCCGTGCAGAAAGAAAGTAGAACATGCTGCATTTTTTCTGCATAGAACTGTATTGTAACATAGCAAACTGCATTAAAACTGCACCAGAACAGAGTGTGGTGTGAACTGTAAGAAAAAAATTATCTGGAATGCATCCGGAGTGCGTTTTTTTTGTGGTGTGAACTGGCACTTAAAGTTCATGCTCAACCAGCATGCACTGACATGTTGGCACATCCATGTGGCCATTATCACTGTTTGTACTTGCCTTTCTGGGGTGGAAGGCGTTACACGGAGTCATTGGAATTTAGATAACTGAGTGAGAAGGAGTGGTTTTTACACTATACCATTGGCACACATGCCCATGCATATTCAATTCCGGGCATGGAGCCAGGCTGCCTATTTAAAGGAGGCCGTAATGTGTGCTAATCTCTGAATGTTCTTTAGATACCTGTGACCTGTGTTCCAGCATTCCTGCTCTTGTAGTCTGATCTACTGTTGCTCACTTTGCTTTGTGGATTCGAGAATCTGACCTCAGCTTCCCTCTGACCACACTCTGCTGTCTTCCTGGTATTGACATTGGCCTGCTGCTTGACTAGCCTTACTCCTGTTCCTTGTATATGACTCTGGCCAGCCTACTGAATACCTCCTTGCTGTCCATCTCTGCTGACCCTGGCTTGGAATTTGACTACATCCTTCATCTCAATGTTTACCTGCATTTAACTCTGATTGTGTGTCCTCACAATCTCTGTACCAAGCTTTCAGGGTCCAGTTCCAGGATGCCTTCCTGTGGCCCAATGTCCTTGGTCCTCCTTTGGGGTGCCTGCACTGCTGCTGTCTGCAGTCCAGATACTACTGCTACCTACTAACTGATTACCAGCACCTGTACTTCTTTGTGCCCTATTCCCACACTCAGGAGGACTGTGACCAGAGCCACAAGGGGAAGCCCTCTCATCACTTTGGCTTCAACCAAGGTACAGTATATGACCACTATCGTTACTGCCCTGTCCCGCCTTGCTTCACACTCAAAAGGTTTTGTCTGTTTGGCCTTTAGGATATAATCTATCCATCTTTTAAGATAGCAAATCCTTGCATTCATTAGACCATTACAATCTATTGCCTTTTATAACCTTCTAATTATAAATTGAGCCCCTTTTGTCTTGTTTGGCTTTTTTAGTAAGAAAGTACAAGCTTACATATTCAGGGATTATCCAAAAAAATGTGCAGTTGCTTGAAATAAATAATGTAAAAAGTTTGTTTACAAAAGCATTATAGTTACAATATAATGGTTAATACAAAACAATCAAAATACAGGATGTATGAGACTTTATTATGTTTTACTGGTAGTAGCTTGATGGGCAGCTGGTAAAGTAGGTAGTGTCAAGTAGAGTGCTAAAAGGAAAAAGAAAAAGGAGAGAAAGAGACAGGAGACGAGAGAGGGTAGGAGAACTGTATGGTTGGGGAGGTGGTGGAGGAGGCAGTGAGTTACGTAGAGTGGGTGCATATGTTGGGGAGTTTGGTTAAAGCATTTTTTTTGATGGGTATACATTTTATCTACGAGTTTGCCAGAGAGTTCCTCAAAAATCATTGCATTAAATCTAGCTTCAGCTTTCTTAGTGCTGAGGGTTGGCTTTTCCAGCATCTAGCTTTAATTTGCTTGGAGGCTGTGACTTGATGGATCAAAAATGTAAAGGTATTTTTAAAATGAGGCTTTTGATTTAGAAATGGGTTTTTGTAGAGGTGTTGGCCCTATAGCCTGTAAACAATATGGAAGACCAAGGTTCCAAATTTCCAAGCTACTAGACAGAGGAAGGTGCCTGTTTCTAAACAGCCAAAGAAGCAGGTTGGAGGTTAATTAGGAATGAACATATTCAGCCAGCTTGGTATATAGTACCAGCGTGTTACACCTTGTAATTGGATTCCGTAGCCAAGGCATTGAGAGAGCAAGCCTTCCTAGACAGCCAGATCTGTGCCCAGTTGTCCTCCACCATTGAGGAGTGCAAATCAGATTCACATTTAGCTAGGCTGGTAAGTAGATTTAGATGCAAAGATGTGGTTTTAGAGGGCTGAGTAATTCTCTGAGATCAGGCTAGGGGAGTTTAAATCATCTTTGCTGTAGGAAGTGTTTAACATGTAGATGCTATATACGATACATTTGGTGGTAGGCAAGCATGGGTCTCTTGGAGAGTCTGGAAGAATTTAGGGCCATTCAAAGTGTCTTCAAAATGTGTAGCCATATAAGCCCTGAGATTACCCAAAGTTGGAAAAGTTCTGGTTAAGTGCAAGTTCTAAGTGTCATTCTGGGCTGTCTATCTGTTCAAAAATATATTTAACAACTGTCAATTTAGGGACACCAAAAAAAGGGACATTTTTCCTAATCTGGGTAATATGGTTTCTAATTCCCAAAGCCCTATAAATGGATTTGCAAATCTACAGTCCATGGACTATCTCATTTTTGTAGATACAATTTTTCATTGAACCAAAAATAAATATTTTCCAAAACAAATTCTGCACATTTTATAATAAATGATCTTTTCATTCATGTTCACATCTAGTTCACATCACACTTTTTGCATGCTCAATAAAAGAATGTAAAGATTTCATATCACTTGTAGTCCGGAAGTTCCCCCTTGCCATTCAACTATATCTAGTTCTTTTGAAACGTAGCCCTTGTCTCTAGTATATGAAGGGAGTCTTGTGACAACTGCCTGCATCTGTATATCAATATACTTTGATACTCTTATAGATACGTTCCTGATCCCTGACACTATGGGAATAATTCACGAAAACTAGAGAGTGCAAACTCTGGTGCAGCTGTGCATGGTAGCCAATCAGCTTCTAACTTCAGCTTGTTCAGTTTAGCTTTGACAAAAAAACTGGAAGCTGATTGGGTTTTATGCAGAGCTACACCAGATATTGCACTCTCAATGTTTAGTAAATCAAACCTTATGAGTCTTCCTTGAGGATCCTCTAAGTCTTTACGAACTTTGGGCAAAGTGTATATATACTGTAACTAACATTCCAGGAATTGTATGTCTGAATGCATTAATCTTTGTTTATAACCCCATCTTTTAAACTTTTCTTTAGGTTCTCCCCCAATTTCCTCTTTATTTTTCATGTGTCACCATGGCTCAGCTGTTTCGTTTTTTTTTTCTTTATCCATTTGTGTATTTCTTTTTATCCATTAATAAAATTGCCTCTTCTTTGCCTTCTGGGTTTTTAATTATTGTTTTGTCTTTCTCTAGACACTTTGGTGTTTCTCTCTCTTTTAAATTGATGTTTTGATGTTTTTTTTTATTTTCACCAATTTGTTCAAATCCCACAACAATATTTTTAATACAGTCATCATTAACATGGGAGGGATGAAACATATAATTATACCTCAAGGAAATAAAATTGGAATTTGATTTATTCTATAGTTTATTCTCCTTAGTAATAATATATTGTAGTTAGCCAATACTTCTTCAGAGTTTTCTTACATGTATATGAACATTTGCATATGTTTGAAATGTTTTACCTGTAATAATCAGAATACATTATATCCCCTTTTCTAATGCTTTCCTTTCATCCTTGGATAACACCCTCTTGCTCAAATGATAGAATTTTTTTTTTATGTTTTATTTTTTTCTTTCAACATCTCCTTTACTTTCTTTCTAGCCCTTTTCCCTGTTGTTACCTCCTATCTTTATCTACCTTTCTCACTGTCTTCTGCTGCCAATATCTACAAAATGATATTTCCACTCTTTATATTCCCTCCATGTCAAGGGTTCAAATTTGTTTCTTTCTTGGAGCTTTCTCCCTTCATTCCAGCTTCCATTTTCCCATTTTTCATTATCCCATTTTTCATTATCCCATCTTCTTCAAGAGTCATTCTTTTCACCACTGATTTTCCCATCTTCTGTCATACCTATTTTGTTCCCTTCTCATATTTCACCCGCTATTTCTACTGTGTTCAACCTCCTCCTCTCTGCATAAAATCAACACTCTGTCCTCCCTGATGATGTGATCTTTTTCTTATTTTTTATCCTGGTATTTACTTCTGTTAACTTTTTTTCCCCTTACTCCTATTTCATTTTTTTGTGCTTCCCTGGATTTCACATCCTGAATTATTACCCTATGTTGTTTGCCGTTCCTCTTCTTCTTCCCTTCACTCCCATTATTACATTTGACCCATATTAATTTTATATCATTTTTTTGAGACCAATATAAAATTTTTTTTGTAGTATTTAATAATTGCTGTTTTTTTTCATTCTATACAATATAAAGAATAAAAAAAACACCACAAATTAAAGAAAAAATACTTTTTTCTTATTTTCTGTTAAAATAAAAATGCAATGACAAAACTAAAATCTCCAAAATAATTTTTTGTAAAGAGGACACCCCAAGACAATCTTATTTTTGCCACAATTTTTGGGAAATGAAGGGGAAGTGAAGGTAATAAACTTTACTTGAAACTACAGCTTCCACTTGTCTTTATTGTGTTCAAAAACAAATAAATGACTCTTTATTCCTTAGTTTCACATTCTTTCCTTCATATGTTGTAAGAAGGGGCTGGCTCACAGATGTAAACACATAAATCATGGGATCAATGTCATTTAGTTTCTCTGTGACCCATAAAAGTGATCTTATGGTAAAGATCCACTTAAATTGGCTCTGTACACAGTGTTTGTGAAAGGAGCAATCTGAGGAAAGCTTGGGTGGCTGACCTTGCACTTACCACCTAGATATTATTTCTGGAGTGATATTTATAAACAGTTTTCCATATATATAGATGTCCACCAATTTAAACTGTTAATAGTTTTGTATTAATTTATTGATTACAATACTAATAATTAGAATAACATAAATGATCTACTTAAGGTCTGTTTACCAGGATTTGGCTCTGTGTGGTGCCTGATATGTTGAAGTAAACCTTTCTCAGGGGAATTCAATAAGTCCTGATAACAATTTTCTGGCAGAAGTTTCTTTAACCACTTACCGTCTGGCCCATGTACATAAATGGCCTGATAGGAGCAGTGCCAAAGTGGGTCACCATTTATAAAAGGCCCCCGCATTCCCTGCCTGTGCGCACTCCATGGGAGCACGCGGCACAGCGATCTAGTGCCTGCTGTGTCCGGAGGAACACCGATCACTGTACGGGACCTCTGTGTGAGGTCCCGATCATGTGATCAGTGATTGGCCACTTCCTGACATCATTGCTTACTACTTGTGAAATCTGTGAATTATCACAGAGGTCACATGGTACAAGGCTATTCGCAACAGCCTAATACCATGTGACAAACTGTGACCAATCACAGCTCTCACAGTATTTCTCAATGGCTGCAAGAATGCAGCCAAAGAGAAGGAGAAATAATTGCTTTTACAGCCTTTATGGGTGTAAAAGCAATCCGTGTAAAAAAAGAAAAAACATCTTCATCACCCCCCACAAGTAGTACAGTGTCACTGTGGTGACACTGTACTGCTAGAGTGACAGCATGTTAAAAAAAAAAAAAAAATGTAAAAAAAAAAAAATTAAATTATAATTTTTGGTTATAAACTAATTTGGGTTATTTGTTTCTACTAAAAAGACAGATGAACATATGTTTGGCAAGATTTATGAAGAAAGATTATTTATTTGCAAAATTTTATAAGAAAAACACTTTTTTTTGTTTTCAAAATGTTTGGACTTTTTCATTTATATAGCAAAAAATTTAAATCCCAGTGGTGAATAAATACCACCAAAATAAAGTTTTATCTGTCTCAAAAAAATGCAAAAAAATTAATATGGGTACAGTGTTGCATGACTGCACAATTGTCATTCAAAGTGCGACAGCGCTGAAAGCTGAAAATTGGCCTGGGCAGGAAGGGGGTGAAAGTGTTCGGACTTGAAGTGTTTAAGAACAACTGACACCTAATTTGGGCAAACATTTGTCAGTAACATTACTGACATATACAGCAAATTCAGATAGTTCTTACCTCGCAGTAAGAATCTGTCTTAGTAATGGTTTCTTAAAGAATTACCAGATTCTTAATTAAGACCAGCTCTGAGCTGGTGTACAGAGGTACACCAATGCTCAGAATGGAGCATAACTGTGCTTAGGAGCTGTCCTATATGTGACAGCTTCCTGCAAAATACTATATTTTCTGCCCCATATAGCTGTTGGATGGGAAATTTCCCATTCAAATGCTAAATGCAAACAAGGGTGCTGGGGAAACAGGTGATGTCATTACTCAAATATGGCAACGCCTATATTTTGTAAATACCTTCTCACTGGGTGGGCAGAGCCTAATGTGAAATGGAGAGACTAGTTATCTATCAGGTCTGCTTTGTTTTGATTGGCAGTACATGGCAGTGGGCAGATTCAAAAGCCGCTTTTGGACTGTATAGCAGCTATTGATCTGCTCACTGTCATGCATTGTCAATCAACAGCAAGGTGGACCTGAAGGGTAACCAGTCTCTCAGTTTCCAATCAGGCTCTTCCAACTTCTAGTACAAAATTCCTCAACCATGTGCCTGTCAGAATGATGAGAGCAGTGGCTGGGGTGAGAGTTAAGAAATGCTTTAACATAAGGGAAGGTGTTCAGTTGAGATAAACTTTGGATCATCCATAAGTTTAACCTTATGCAGGCCATAGACGGGTCGAAAATCGGCCAATTTTTCTTTTAAAAAAATGAAAAATCGGTCGTTCAAGCGGCTGACGTTACCAGCAACGGTAAAAAAAATCGTCCGATTTTCATCCCGTCTACAGCCGGCAAAAAGTGTCCCTACAGAGAGCTTTCTTTGACAGTTCCTTGACATTTATAGCGGTTGCAACAATGTATCTATTTGTATCCATTTAGGATACAGATGTTTTTATTCGGAAACAAATAGATACATTGTTGCAACCGCTATAAATGTCAAGGAACTGTCAAAGAAATAGCGGAGCTCTCTGCAGGGACACTTTTTGCCGTACTGGAATTCCTCTTCTTCTTCATCCTCTTCTTCTTCTTCCTCTTCTTCTTCTTCATCCTCTTCTTCATTATCTTCACCCTCTTCTTCATTTCTTCATTATCTTCTTCATCGTCTTCTTCTTCATCTTCATCCTCTTCTTCTTCTTCATCCTCTTCTTCTTCTTCATCCTCTTCTTCTTCTTCTTCTTCATCCTCTTCTTCTACTTCCCTCTTCTTCTTCTTCCTCTTCCTCTTCTCCTTCATCCTCTTCTTTATCCTCTTCTTCCTCTTCTTCTTCATCCTCTTCTTCTTCATCATCCTCTTCTTCTCTTCCCCTTCTCCTTCTTCCTCTTCTTCTTCCTCCTCTTCTTCATCATCTTCTTCATCATCTTCCTCTTCTTCTTCTTCTTCATCCTCTTCTTCTTTTTTCTTCTTTTTGTCTTCCTCTTGCAGGTCACTGCTCATGCGCAGATTTTTTTTATCGGTAAAAGATCGGCCGATTTGCCCATCATTGCCGCAAAAATCGGCCAATCGGCAAAATCGGCCGATTTTTTTCCAACTGTACCGATAAAAAAAAAATCTGCCAAAATAACGAAAAACGGCCGAACATTTAGCCCACTAACGATCCGAAAATTGGCCGATTTTATTTTCGGCCGAAAAATTGGCCAATTTTCGACCCATCTATGGCCTGCCTTAGTTTGCAGTTTGAAGAGTGGGCAAACTAAATGGCCAAATTGGGCAAGCTAAATGGCCAGATTTGCCAAATTGTCTGCATGCAGGAATGTCCAGCTGAAAGTCCTTTAATTTCCTTCTGCCTCCAGGCTTGTTTCAAATTTTAAGCAAGTCAGTGGGCATCCTGGGTGAACTCATTGACCAAATATGGCTACATCCAATAATCAATGGTCAATAATGTCAGCCAGCATCAGCTGACATTCAGCAGATTGCCAGAGAGCTGTCATTTGTGGCGAAAGTCTGGAGGGAGAGGATCATCAGTGCAGGTCATCATGTTTGTGTCAGTCAGGACATTATCCATCATGACTGACAATATATCTAATTAGCTGGATCGCAGGACTTTTTTAAAAGTACTTTTCTATGGTGTGTGTGTATTTACTTTGTCAACTTTTTTTTGTAAATAGGTAATGGGAAGTACTATGTACCCCATGTTCTTTCATGAAGAGGGGAGGGTCAGATAGGGGTGGGGGGTGCATAAACAAAAGGAGTTTCCAGATTCTGATAATTCTCACCCTCTGACTCCAACATCCATTTGACCAGGGATGTGGAGATGAGGCAAATTTACCCATCAACATAGAGACAAGGTGCCTTGTCATGATTTATGTATGCTTTAACATTTTCTCTCATCCCGGCATTTAGCATTAGTATCAGAATTAGCATTATATTAACATTAACAGTAAAGCTGCATATTAAGTGGATTAACATAGCACTAATGTATACTATGCATATACTGGATAATAATAATACAATAAAAATGACATTTTACAAATAATAACCATATTTTTATATTGCTGTATAAATTATTATTAAATTATTAAAAAGTGTATATAGGTTAACCCCTTGATGCCGATGTAACACAAATATGCGGCCTCACAGAACTGGGCTTTTTTCCGTGGGGCCGCATATTTGCGTACTTGTCTTTGTGCTGGGAGCGTGACGCACGGTGCGCTCCCAGCACAGAACCCGCACTGTCACTGAGAGCACCGAGTCCCGTTCTAACGATCGGGACCCATAACGCCCGATTCTGGGTCACATGATCGCTGTGATAGCCTCTGATTGGCTATCACTAGAGATGAGCGAATCGAACATGACGAAGTGGAATTCGTTCCGAAGATTTGGAAAAATTCTATTCGCGACGAATCCGAAGATTAGCAAACTTCGGATGCACGAATCGAATTTTCCCAAAAATGGCGGCGACATGTGTGGCGACAGGAGAAAATGGACAGAGAAGATGGGGCGGGGATCTCTGGGAAGGCGCGCAGACAAGGCGCGCTGACCCATAATGCATTCATGAGTCATGAATCATGACATGTGATCGCATTAGCCAATCAGCAGCCAGCCAGCCAGCACTGTGTAATGGTGGAGCTATAAATCGCGGCCATCTTAGAATTCTCCATTAGCCTCCGGTCATTCAAGAGAGACAGACCTCTGTGTATTGAGGGACAGAGTTAGGGCCACAGAGACTTTAGGGCCACAGAATTGTTACTCAGGGACACAGAATCGTTACTCAGGGACACAGAATCGTTACTCAGGGACACAGAATCGTTACTCAGGGACACAGAATCGTTACTTAGGGCCACAGCTATCAAAGAATCGAAAATTTAAAGTGACATACACCTTTTTTTTTTTTTTTGGTGGCTGTCGTGCACAGTTGGTGCTGCAGTTTGCCGATTGTGCAAAATAAACTGACTTTCTGCTTCACAACCACTATTGTACGTTCAAAGTTAAATCCATTTACACGCCGGGTGGCGGTAATATTTTTTGGGTGATTAGTGCATTCCAGTGACTTAAACGTACAGTTTCCAGCCAACGGCAAGCTGCAATTGACCGATTGTGCTAAATAAACTGACTTTCTGCTTCACAACCACTATTGTACGTTCAAAGAGTTAGATCCATTTTACACGCCGGGTGGCGGTAATATTTTTTGGGTGATTAGTGCATTCCAGTGACATAAACGTACAGTTTCCAGCCAACGGCAAGCTGCAATTGACCGATTGTGCTAAATAAACTGACTTTCTGCTTCACAACCACTATTGTACGTTCAAAGAGTTAAATCCATTTACACGCCGGCTGGCGGTAATATTTTTTGGGTGATTAGTGCATTCCAGTGACAGAAACGTACAGTTTCCAGCCAACGGCAAGCTGCAATTGACCGATTGTGTACAATAAACTGACTTTTCTGCTTCACAACCACTATTGTACGTTCAAAGAGTTAAATCCATTTACACGCCGGGTGGCGGTAATATTTTTTGGGTGATTAGTGCATTCCAGTGACATAAACGTACAGTTTCCAGCCAACGGCAAGCTGCAATTGACCGATTGTGCTAAATAAACTGACTTTCTGCTTCACAACCACTATTGTACGTTCAAAGAGTTAAATCCATTTACACGCGGGTGGCGGTAATATTTTTTGGGTGATTAGTGCATTCCAGTGACATAAACGTACAGTTTCCAGCCAACGGCAAGCTGCAATTGACCGATTGTGCTAAATAAACTGACTTTCTGCTTCACAACCACTATTGTACGTTCAAAGAGTTAAATCCATTTACACGCCGGGTGGCGGTAATATTTTTTTGGGTGATTAGTGCATTCCAGTGACATAAACGTACAGTTTCCAGCCAACGGCAAGCTGCAATTGACCGATTGTGCTAAATAAACTGACTTTCTGCTTCACAACCACTATTGTACGTTCAAAGAGTTAAATCCGGTTTTATTTTTGGGGTGCTTATTGAATTAAAGAGTATGTCAGACAACACGCA